CACAGAACAGATGCAAATAAAATGGAACTCTATCTTTTTTACTGCTTTGTTGAAAAAATCCGCATTGACTTTGGATTTGTAATGTGCAAATTTCTGCTCAAAATCAGCACTGATAGTCGTAGGAAGCTTTCCTATGGCAGATTTCTGACCCCCATTTTTGCTCATTTTGACATACCTTTTTCTGGCAAATCTCCAAAAGAAAGTGCCTCTTCAGTTTTCTCCAAAGCTTACTTTGAAAGAAAGAATCTAAAATTTTTTGAGGGTCATTGGTGCTACAAGGAAACTGTGGCCGAGTCTAGAAGAAAAAATTTGCATGAAACCCCTGTCACTCCTAGAACTCCCCATGATCAGTCAGGGTATATATCTCCTTTCACCATTCATCCCAGAAAGTCTGCCAGTAAGTCCTTCCCTTCCAATTCTGATGTCATCTCCCTGCTTGAAGACCTCAAACAGCATGTTATGCTTCTTGAAGATGGTCTCATGATGACCATAACCTCTGCCCAACAATCCTCCTTTCTTGAAAAAAGGAATCTTCTTGTGCCCCCTATACCTGAAACAAATGAAGCTGCTCATCAGAAAGAACCAAGATCTGAGCCCACAAGGCCAACCACTGGTGATGAGACTACTCCAACTTCCAGTTCTCAGCCCAAGGATAAAGGCAAGGCTCCAATAACTGAGGAAGAAGTTGAAGATGATGATGAAGAAACTGAGTAAGAGGAGGACCCTGAACAGTATCGTCTGACCAGGAGGAGGCCTGGATCATCTAAAATCACTATCTAGGCACTTCTAGGTCACTGCATCTAAATCTAGGACTATAGTTTATCTTTTGTTTTAAGTGCTGGACACATGGTCTGTAAAACTGGATATTTTCTTTACTGTTTATGGATGCTTTAACTAAGTATTGTGTTATGGATTTTTTTTATGATATGATTGGTATGTATGTGTGCAATCTGCTGGTTGAATGAATGTTTCTGATTGATATCTGCTCAATGATTAACTCCAAACTGTGATGTATATTTGTATACTGATATTACTTCTGAAAAAATGTATTGCTGGTTGTGATGACAAAAAGGGGGAGAATTGGAATTGGATTTGATGGTTTACAACTGATGGTATAGAGTATCTGGTTAGGGGGAGTCAGTTTCAGGGGGAGTAATATACTACTCATGCACTTCGTCAGGGGGAGCTGCTATATTTTGTGCTGTATCCAATTGTTTTGTCATCATCAAAAAGGGGGAGATTGTTTATCTCAATTCATATCTTTTGATGATTACAAAACAATTGGATGTTTCTAATACTTTTTGTAAAGATCCTTTTCAGAAATAAACCAAACAGGTATGTGGAGTTAAAGCAGAAAAAGAAGATCAGAAAGGAATGAAGTATGCTGAGGATGATGTCGGACGCACAAAAGGAAAGTATCGGACGTCCGACATTCTTTGAGCATCTTCGGATGAGTAAATAACTCAGACTCGGACGTCCGAAGAAGACAAGCCAGAAGTTACTAATTAGGTTCGGACGCTCAACACCTGTGTATCGGACGTCCGACAAACGTTGCTGATCTTCAGACACAACACTTTGGATGCATCGGCCGTCCGAAGGAATTGAAGAAGAAAGTCCAAGTATTCATCCTACCCTCGGACACATGATCGGACGTCCTAAGGGACTCGAAAAAACTTCCAGAACTCATTTATATCGTTCGGACGCATAAAAACCAATCATCGGACGTCCGACAGCACCAACGGCTAGTTGACTCTTCAGCTGCCTTCTACCCGTTGACAGCATTAATTGAGGAATTCTCTGGTCTCCTATAAAAGGAACAAAGTCAACCACCTCAGAACAACTTTGTACATCAAGCCTACATCAGATTGTGAGTGATTCAAGTGCTAGAATACTCAAAAGAAACATTTGTATTCCTTGCATGTGCAATCTTCGTGGAGTTGTTTTTCAAGTGAGACATAGCTTCTTCAATAGTGTAGCATAGTGAGGGTTTGCGAGTGTTTGTAAAACTTCCTTGCTTGACCAAGTGTGTTTTGGGGCAAGAAGGAAGTGATCCCTTCCTTGCACACATAAGATTGGTTGTAAGTTTATTCTGCTTGAAGTAACTTGGTATATAATAGTGGTGTTCAAACCTCAGTTGTGTTTGAAGCCTGGTTTGGTTCTTTACTCTTATTTACTGCTTTTCCATATAAACTGTTCCTCTCTCCATCTCACTAATACCTGTGCTATTATATTATCTTGTTCATTGGGAGGCATTTTGAAAAAGAAAGGCTGTCTGTTCAAAAAGGTAAAATATTTATTAGCAGGTTTTTGAAAGCCTAATTCACCCCCCTCTTAGGTTATCTTCGATCCTTACACTTTTAAAACACCAAAATCTACCATAAACATTCATCATAAAAGCGCAAGAATGAACTTGAAGTCATCTACCTAGTTTGCCATGAAAATATAAGAAATTTTCCTCAAGTCATCTACCTAAATCAAGGTTTCAAGGAAACCCATCAAAGATTCAATTTTTCTAGCTACAAAGCTACTAGAAACTTGAAGGAAAAAGAGGGTTTCAATCTAATACCTCTCATAGCAATTTCAATCAAGTAATAAGTCCAAGTTTCCTCCAAGAGTTGCCCCCAAACAAGACTTTCTTCCAAACTCAAGCAAGATTCCAAGAATCATCCAAAGTTGGGGAAGATTTGAAGCAAAAATGGAGGAAAAAAGTTGAGCTTTTCTTCTCTTTTTTTTTCCTAGCTCTCGGCCATCTACTCTCTCCTTTCCTCTTGATTTTGGTTGCTCTATTTATTTATTATTTTTTTAAGGTAAGAAAGGAAAAATTAAATGATAAGAAAACTTGGTCAAAGGTCTCCCTTAATTCCTATGGTGGCACTTGTCATCTTCTAGAGTTCTTTAGGTCCAAGTGTCCCAACACTTGTCACCTTCTAGAGCTCTATAGTTCCAAGTATTCCAATTCTCTCTCTTATTATACTAAAGTCCTCCTTTTTTTCCAAAAATTCCTTTTTACACCCCACTATAAAGGAAATTTTCATTTTACCCTACACATTAACTTTCACATGTAAAGTTTAATAAAAGTATTAAGGCAAAATCATCATCAAATCAATAAATAACTAAATAGATGACTTAATAAATAAAGTACCAAATTGTTAAACTAGATAAATTAGCAAATTTCTAGGTTCTCACAAGCTCAAATCTCCAGTAAATATGGTCCAGTTCTCTTGCTTTATTTTGGTTCTCACCCTGTCCTTCTCATATCTTTCGCCTTTTGCTACACTGGAATGCCTCCCTAAGAGTGAAATAGTCTTTACAAATTGGCCCAAGTTCCTCGCCGGAAAATACCTCGGCTTTAACTATACAACTCTGGCATGGGCCTTGTACAGTTAACACTGGAGCAATCTAAGAAACATCACTACCCTTGAAATATTATCAGGTAGTCGAGTCCAGATGCTGGCGCACATACATTCTAAGGAGGTTCAATTTGTTTCGGCACCTTCTAAGGGCCGCTCCACGAGTGCTAATGACCATTATGGCATGTCAAAATGAAATCAGCCTTCTTCGAACTCAAACTGAACATTATGATGTGGATGATTGCTGTAAAGCAATATTCTGGTGATGATTCAAGAGAAAGTCACAAGGCTTCAAGAAATGGTCAAAGAGAGTATTCAAGTCAGCAGATCAACAAATGCTGCACTTGTTGTTCCACTATTCAGGTGGATAGGGCAAAATAAGCTTGAAAGTCATCTGAAAACATTGCAGGTGAAGGGGCAAGAGTTCCTATAAGATTTGATTGAAGAGCACAGAAGAATCATCAGTCATCGTGAGAATAAGACATTGATTGATGTTCTTTTATCTCTCCAAGAGACTGAATCACAGTACTATACGGATCAAATCATCAGAGACATGGTTCAACGTTGAAGTTAGAGATCTTGGATTTAATTCTTATCAAAGTGCGAGTCTTTCGTAATGTTGTGTTAGTATTTATCCCACCAAATGTATAAATCAGTTGTAGTTTGAAATATTTGTAATCTCTTTTATTGTCATATAGTTGTGCATTATATGCGATCTTATCAAGAAAATATTAAAAAAAAGAGAGAAAATTACAGTTTTGATCCTCAATAATTTGGCCAAAGCAATTTTTTTGGATGAACCCATGAAATTCACTGTTATCCCAACATATGGGAAGGACCCACGAAATTTAAGCCTGAAACGTTTATAAACTCGGAAGTCCAAAGAGAGGGATTCGTGTTTATGCCATTTGGGTGTGGTCCAAGAGCATGTCCTGATGAAAATTTAGCTAGACGAGTTTGCAACGTTTTCATTGGACTCACATGAGTGAATCAGTAGAATCTTCTAACATGATTACATAAATTCTCTACAACTATTCGTTATATAGGTATCGAGATCGGTTGCATGGTTTTGTGACGCTCTTGATTAGTATTTTCTCCTTCCGTTATTCTTTGTCTTGCGAGCGTTACCTTCTTCTCAATATATAATGAATTTATTGGGGAATTTGAGAATATATAATTTGTTTCAACTCAAACAAATTTGACAATACTGGTAAATGTCAGCAATATGCCAATTAATGCATTGGTGTAATTCAAAAGGAAAGTTTTTAGACATTAGAAAAAAAAAAAAAGCATCTTTGCACATCCAATTTCCCGAGACCCAAAGATTAATCCTTGTTATAACCATAAACATTTGAAATCAAACGTGAAGTGGATGCAATAGGAACCCTCCATTAATGTTTAAAATCTTATCTAGTACCAACTACTATTAAATTAAAAAAATTTGCGAAAAAAAAGTGACTAAAGATATTAGTCAACTTCGGTCATACAAAGTTCTATAATTTCACATCATGCTGGTCACTAAAATATAGCAGGCGCCAACTCAATTGACAATCTCCATCCTTTGGCCTCTTTCTCTTTCAAATTCTTTTTTGCCGCTCCAAACAAAGCAAGACTATTCCATCACTTGAAATCAGTCTATACACCAAAATGGGATTAAAAAATATACACATAAAATTAAGAATTTAAAGGGCACAATAAAAACTTTGTGATGAACAATACAACACACGCAATGGCAGCATCCTTGAATTTAAAGATGTCAGATTCGTCATCAGACTAGCTACACTTCTGCAAATGATGATGTAGATGTACGGATAAACAAGAACCTGATATCACCTTCCAAAACATCTTAGCAGAGAAGAGGTAAGCGTTGAGAAAAGAAACTTTAGTCCAATCACCTACAGAATTAAACCAATCAAGTGTTTTAAGTCAGGCTCTTACTCCAAAAGCTAAATCTGATGTTACGTTGTTATAGCATATCATACGCATTATCTACCACTCTCACTTGTTTCCCTTTTGGTAACACAAAGAAGTAATGTGTCAGTATTTGCCTACTATATGTATAAACAACGATAATACAGCCGTTTACTTTTTTGCTTTGACTAATTGTTTTATTGAGGGGTGAAAACCAAACTCTATATGATGAGTGTGGGTGAATGAGAAAGGTCACAAGCCAACCATAATCATCTGTGGCACCTCTACGAAGGCACTTGACTAACCTGTAAAATAGAAAATCTCATCCCTCTTAACTACAGTCATCATTTCCATGTTCAAGATTTGGCAATAGGCAAAGAGGCCAAAGTAGATAAAATTAGAATGTAAAAGCTGCACACAACCAAAGAACAAGGGGGCAAAAAAGGAAAACGAAACAGCTTTAAATCAACATGACAAAATAAGTATACTCTAAAATATATATGAATATAATCACACAGAAAATCCTCCAACCCAACCATCGTCTTACATAGAGCCGTGTTTTACAGTGATCTAGCTTGCTTGCAGCAAGCCTCTCACCAAACATATACAGCATAGTGTGTAGCTGCACAAACAATCCAGGTGCCTTTTGCTTTTACTGTTTTGTCATGTCCCCATTTAAGGATCTTAATTCTACATCAAATTCACATGGACCCTGAATACCCAAGGTAGCTAGTGCATTCATTGGTAATTACCAAATTTAATGAGAATAATTTATTTTTACAACGTAGGAACCATTTAAGCTTTATTGGTAAAGCAGTTAGAAGGGCAACCACAAACCTAAATATCTATCATCATGGGGAAGCAACCCCTTTTTGTGTTAAGGTGCTGCTCTTAAAATGTTAAAAGTATTTTGTACTACTGGATAAGCAAATGTAACAAGGACAAAGAGGAGATCTATCTAGGATTATTGCCCAGAAATATTCTCATTGATTTCTTCCCTAGATAGTTTAAAAAAAAAATTAATGAGAATATTTCTAGGTAATAATCCTAGATAAATCTCCAGTTTGTCATGCTTTATTACATTTATTTATCCAGTAGTCAAACAATATTTTAAAAAAAAAATCAATGAGAATATTTCTAGGTAATAATCCTAGATAAATCTCCAGTTTGTCGTGCTTTATTACATTTATTTATCCAGTAGTCAAAAAATATTTTTAACATTCTTAAGAGTAACACCTTAACACAACCCCAAACAGCAGCTCTTTTTTAACTCCCTAAAACTGAAAGGTGGATTGGCCCCTAATTATATTATTTTAAATGAAAATCATAGAGGTGAATCCATCAAACCAAATTAGATCTGTTAATTAAAAAGAAAATATTTCCTGAAATGTGTTCTAAAACAGTCAAGTCATGCGAATAGCATAAGGATATAGCTTAATATAGTCTTCAACTGTATAACACGGAAGTTGGCTTAAACTCTTCGATCTGAAGTTACAAAGACCCCATTTGATATCTCTAAAGCAGTTAAAGGCTATAAAGATGCAAATACCCCTCTGCTCCTATTCATCATCTCCTTTTTCACCTAAAGTCACAAAGACACCAGTTACCATGTTTTTAATGCACAAAAAGATTTTAAAAATGCACACATACACTGCTCATTATATTCATAGTCTCCTTTTATCTTCCGCTCCCGCACCTCTCAGGCTTGTGATTGTACCTAATTGGTACTCTGGTTTCCTTGATCCATTCCCTTTCTCTAGATTTTCGTCCAACAGTACCAAGACAAATTCTTATGTGCACAATGGCTGTAGTCTGCGTATGACGAGTTGTACCCCTAACATTCATCTTTTACATCAGGCATTATTCATAAACTACTACTAACGTTTTGAGTTGATGCATAGTTTGGAAAGAAGGTAAGGTAGAAGTTCTATGATAATTGTGAATGCACAAGGAAGAATGGTAGAACTTCTGCATCTCCATTTAAATAATTCCCATGGTCTTTATTGCTTAATGATGCAGTTACTGTACATAGAGAAAGGAGAGGATTCCATACCTGTAACAAAGAGAAGAAAACAGAGAGAATATAGCTGTGAAGCACCATAGAAACATATATTGTTCCCACGGTGCTGCCTATAAATCCCAAGGTAAAAGGTAGTCTCTGGAGAAGTACAGAAAGTAGTACAGGATCAGAGTACAGCACCAACTAAATACCATTAATCAAGCCAGCATTCATCGAGCCAGCATAATATAAATTTTTTAGACCAGATAGGTTTCCAGTTTCACAAAAATACCTCTTTTGATGACATGTGTCCAAGCTGATCTTTTGGGCCTTTAAGGGCAAAGAACGAGCCAATGATAAAGGCACAGCCAATTGTGAAGCATAGAGCAAACTTTTGGGGTGCTATCACCATAACAGGAAGGAAAATGGAGAATGCTATTATAATGAAGAACACACCAGAAGCAAGCAAGATGCCGAAGTACAAGAGAGATTTTCCAGAAGGGACACTACTTGTGGCAGATTGGAAATTCCCTGGCAGATCCCTCACTCCCTTCGATACGCTGTAAGACAGAACAGAATTTGGATAAGATAATAATAAAAAATTAAAAAAGATATACTTCGAACAAGTAGCACGTAAAGTTTCTTATTCAAGCAAAAACAAGGACTGTAAGTAATCTAAGTATAAACAAACAAGCAATCAGAGAAATTATGGCCAAAACATTTGGTTATGCAAAAGAAATCTAAATTCCGTTTATTGAAGAGTTATAGTTATTGGAAAAAGAATCCCTTAGACTAAGAAGCTGGGGATATCTATGAAATGCATAGCATGATAATACCTGAAAGATAATTCCGAAAACATTATAATACTTTCCGATAGGCACATAAAAGATGACTAGAAATGTACAAATTACATACAGTGTTAACATGAGAAACATCCAGTGGTAATGGCATAAAAATTTGGACCAAACCAAACAATATGTTGTTCAAGCTAAGCCATTTAACAAGCTTCAAAATAGAGTTCAAGTATTCCAATTGGTGGGGCAAGCATGTCAGGATAGTTCTCCCAAACCATTTTATGTGTAATAAGCTATGTTTAACAAGTGGCATGCTACAGAAGTGTCAAATCTACAATTTGAGAACTTGCTCCTGTCCTGCGCACAAAAATTGAAAACCCTGAGTGTTAGAACGGTTAAGATATTATAAAGTAGATTTTCCATGAAATCTACTTCAATGAGACACAACAAAGAAAACACATACGCCAGAAGTCAAGCCGTAATTCTTCGCATTACCTTTCAAAAAGATTAAAATTAGGCAAGCTTCCTAAACTTGCAACAATACTTCGATTTTACAAGAACCTCTAATGGGTGTTTTATGAGTTCCATCTTCAGACACTTGACAACATCCTGTGAGTTTAACCTGGAACAAACAACTAAAATTTAAGAGATTAATTGTTGTTTTGGCTGCTTACCTCTTAATGAGGTATCCTAGTAGCTATAGAAAAAAAGCCAAACCGAAGAAGTAAATAGTGGAGAACTGCATGAAGGACCTTTCCTTTGTATTGTCATTTATGAATGCTATAGCTTTCAAAACCATAGGAATTTCTGGTTGTTCTTTCCATAATGCTTCTCCTCAGCTCTTCCAACTTGTCATGTTCCTTTCAGTTTAACAAGTTATGTAGTATCTTCAGAACCTGAACACTAATTTCTTGCTTGGATTACATCTTTGCTAAAGTGTCGCCAGTTTCCTTACAGTCAACTTTTTTTTCCGGTGTTATAGAACTTTACAAACCATACATTCCTGATCTGCTTTTATTTGTGTAAAGTACCATCCCTAAAAAATGTTACTCCTCATCTGACTCGGGACACTAGATTGCAGAGCTATACCTTCATGTCTCCTTAATGATACCATGCTTATTTCATCATGCCAAATAACATTCCAAGTGAGCACTGAATGGAGCTGATAATCCAAGTTAAGTTGGGGATCCCATATGTTATCAAATGTAGAAGTTAGTGAATTTAAGCCTGAAAATATTTTTAAAAATAAAATAAAAGATAAACCTGGCTTCAGAAAAATGACAATCCCATACAATAGGCTTGTTTAGGTATGGTAACTCTCAGGCAGTATTATACAAGCCAATCTCAAAATAAAGAAAGACTGAGCCATGAAAAATGATGGTAATTCATAGCACTAGTTTCTTATCATTCTCTGATCATGATATGATTCAGCCGAGATCATATAATTGATCATCAGCATAAAACTCAAAAAAATTTTAGAAAACCAAATCCCTTATTAATATGACTGCCTCTTTGCATGAAAAGGTGGACCTGAACCAAAAGAAGACATCTTCTGCAATGCACAAGATCTCATAAAACCACCACTAGAAAAATTTCAGGCAAAGTGCATGGAGATCATCAAACTCTTCAAGAGTCTCATCTTGCCATCCCAACTACTTTTAATTTCGTTTTGGTATCTGAATGTTAAAACATGGATGTCACATGGACATTTTAGACATTCCATCAAGATGCTCCTTCAAATAGCACTAACATAGGACCCACATTTGAGATTATCAACACTCTATTGGGTTTGTATGTCAGTTTTAATGTTTTCTTTATCTTATTCTGTTTCCATTTTTGCTTTCTCTTTTTGTTTTTTGTTTTTTTTTTTGTTTTTTCATACTTTTCTTTCTGTTGCTCCTCCTTCAACCTTCTCCATATTCTCCACACCAACACCATTAGGCCCTCAATACTGCCTCCTGCAGCCCACAAGACACTCATAACCACTTGCCTGCAACACACATGATTTCCAAACGATGTAACCATGAAGACCATTGCATAATCCCTTGCTATATCCCACCAGCATATTGTGAAATTTGGTTTCTGCAGAAAACATACAAGATCAAGAGAGATTCCCAATCAAGGAAGCCTACTGGTGTACATAGACCATATGATTTAGCATTGGAATATGAAGGTTTTATTCTAAGTTGGCAAAACTTCTAAGTTTTTGGCTTTCATTCTTTTGATGCCCTGTAGTAAAAGGATCAATTGTAGGTTGTTTTGTATTCTTAAGGTTAAAGAGAGATGAGAGAGTCGTGCTGATTTATTGGAACTTAGATAAAGGGCAGTGCAGTATCGGATATGCAGCTAACCATGATTATATGATGCAAAAAAGATCACTTGTGGTAGTTCTAACCGTCCCCCCCCCCCAGGAAATAAAATCTATGCCACAAAAGAGTTGGGAAATGTGTCCATCGCCCAAAAAGTTTATGGCCAGCAGTTGTGGATGGCAAATGCGTGAAAGCCAGCTTTAGGTCATGACAACAGCATTCTGGTTGGAGAGGTCTATTGAGAGGGAAGGAAAGAAGAAAGCAAAGCAAAAGACCAGGAAAAGGAGAAAGAGAAAGAAGAAACAAAATAATGTATGGTGGTTTTAACAATGATGCCCACTAACATGACCTTAAACTATTGAAGTCCATCCAAGTTAACAGGGTTAGATGGTTGCATCACAAATATCATAACAAAATGAAACTAAGCATAGTTTAATTGGAAAAGTGGGACATTTTAATAAGTGTAAAGAACATGCAAGCAATTACCGAAACTTTTCAAAAGGTATATAAAATTTCCTGTCCTCCATAGTAAATTTCAAACAATAATCGGAGCTAAAGGACATAAGAGTTGTCCCTGAAAAGCACTTAATCAATATCTCTTTGATACCTTGCACCAAGGGGTCTCAACAGTTTGATAAAGTCCAACATAACTAAATATTAAATACTTTGCAAGATTGAAGGAAAACTTTTTCAGTATAAACACCACTCTCAAAAATAGAAAATACATACTGACACCAAGGGAGCCTAAATGCAGCCATAGGTGGCCACCCACTGACAATGGAACTCTGAAGTAGGCTTGAAAAAATATTCAAAAAAAAAAATAACAACAACGTCCAAGCAAGCTCATTAAAAGCATTTGCTACTTGGCTCAAGCCACATAAGCATCTGCAAAAATAGAGGTCCCCATAAGGGCACCAAGAGGAGTACTCCCCAGCTTCAGCTTATTTAGGTTGCAGTTAATATCTAATCCCGAAAACCTCAATTCAATGTACCAGAAGGGTTTTGGACATAATGAAATATGTACTAACAGACTGAGTTTTCCCTATTCCTATTTGCCAACACAAAGAGAGCACATTAGTTTTTCATATGATAAAAGGCTTCAGCATGCTCTTTAAAAGGCTGCCTACAAGTCTCAATAACTAATTATTGCTTTTGAGCTCATCAACAGTCTCTAATTTAATTGAGATTTGAATGAGAAAACCACATGACTGGAGACCATGAAGTCACGATATCAAATAAGAATAATTCTCTATAACAAATTTTACAAGTAGAAAAAGCTACTTATGCAAAGCCAGGTTGAATGCACATAAAAGCGGATGGTCGTGCCTACCCCAAATTATGTTTTCAATTCATGTTTAAAGCCAAGTTATGTCTTCAATGCATATTTCCTTAACCAAAAGGAGACGCTTCCAAATATATCTGTTTGCCTTGGATCCTTGTTCAGCAAATCATATACACATGCCATGATTAGTTTTGTTTTCTGGGCATACGTTATACATGATTGTAAAGAAGCTAGCTCTCATCTTTGAGTATCCAATAGATACACCATAAGAACAGTGAATTTTCTTAGCATTTTCTATCCTCTGAAGTAAAGTTTGGTGGTTCTCAACATGTTTTATCTGTTCCTCTTCCCAATAAGGATTCTTCACCCAAACGGCGAGAAAAGAGATGCTAGTCCTAGCTTCCAATACTTGTGATATGCATCAGGCATTTTACCGTTTTATTGGATCTAGTGTTGCAAACTTCAGGCAAAAAATCAACTTTCTGACAACAAAGGAAATGATACTGGAAACATGCATCATGAAAAAGCTGAGTACCATTCAGAAGTTTTTGCTACCACACTGGCTATCCCCTTTATGGTCTCATCTGTCCATCCAGTTTCCTCTGTACATTTTCAATTAAAATCCTATCCACCAAATAACAAAATAAATTGAGATGATTACAAATTATCATATTTGATCTAGCTAATCCATCGCTGATATCCACCAACACGGACTTCAACATGTTAGGTTAATATTTGCATTCTCCAAATTGTATTCTAAAGCCCCTATTCCACCTGAGACTCATTCATAGAGGTCTCTCAAATTCTAAAAGAAAATCATACACTTATCGAGTCTACACAGGATCATGCATTAAAGAAAGATCCATTGAATGTTTTAAAAACATTTATATTTGAAACTCAAAAGGCCAATGCTATTAGTCAACTTAATGCAGCTTTGTTGAATATAATGCTTGACACTTATCTTTTTGTGAAGCATATTTTGCAATAGGCTGGCACACGATGTTAAGCAACTTCACATTAAAGACGGTCATTAGGCTTCAGCAATTGTTAACTGCATAAGAGAAGCTAATCCCTTCTAGACTATCAAACACATAAGTTCAAACTGACAAGGTTTTTAGCACTGTCTCAGAATAACATACCAATGGAACCCAGATTCAGTTGTTTTGGTAACAAGCAGATCTCAAGCAAGATTATAATGAGCCAATCTCCCATGGATTTTCAATAGCTAGTTAATTAAAATAGAGTACAATAATATCTAGCCTCTGGTCCCTCCCCAAAAGGGGGGGGGTGGGGAGTGAATTCATTAACTGCAATTTGTCAAATTTTTTCTACTTTAACCAATATTTGTGTCCTGCTATCAGTTTCAGACACCATAGTGACTCTGAATCATCATTCATAGCAAACTAACAAGACAATTTTGGATAACCAGAATGATTAAGGGAAACACTGCATCCTTGCATGAGAAGGTGCATTTCAAGCGCAGCAAAACATTTATGCACTCTTAGAGGACCCAGTATAAGTAAAACTCTCCAGCAGCAAATAAAATGTGCAGGTTTGCAAAAGACTGCCAAAGGAACATTAAGTTTGCTCCTGGTAAGCTCATTCTTCCTCAATGCAACTTCAGTGAAACACATAACCATCTAAAAGAAAATCCGAAAGGCGATACTTGCTTAATTTTAGCTTGATATAAAAACTCCAAATGACCTCTTTGCATGTTTGAGAAGGATACTGGATCGACACATACGTTTCTCACCCAGCCAACCAGCATTTTTCCTTGACCTCCACTGTCCCTCATATATCTGCCTAACTACAAGAAGACTAGAAAAACATCACGTGATCCAAATTAAGCCAAAGCCAAGGCTTACATCCACCATACTATCCAATATGTTGCATCAACATTTTGATCCCCAAATACAATGATATAGCAAAAATCCAGCTAAACCTAATCAAAATTGGTCTTTCAAGAGTCAAGACCAGAACATTCACAAAATAACCTGCTCTACACAAGCCCAATCTCAATCGAGCATTACACTTAATGTTTCTTACGTATTCGGAGACTTCATAAATCCTTATTTCATGATCCCTAGGACCAATTCTACTGGAATAGATGCAAATTCAGTTTCAAAGAAGCACATTCTACAAACAGATGTTCTTTCCTAAGTAACTTCACATTGGCCAGCATGGTTTTTACAGTTCAAAATCTTTGCTAAGCAATTTTATGACAGAAAACAATCGACTGATTGTTTAAATGGGAAATCCAATATTCATTCAATTCATAACTGCCTGATTCTTACACATTAAAAGTGCCGGAAACTTTATCATTGGCCGTTCTGACAGCAGCTTCGAGATCAAACCCTAACCCGGAAGAAGACTCCGCGTCCTCGGATTCTCTTGAAGCCGCATAAGCGTTCCAATCCGCTAACAGAGATGAAGGCGCTTTCTGGAGATCGCTGCTTGGTCCCCCTGAAAACCACGCTTGTGCTGTTTTCTGCATCGTTTTCTGACCACTGTCATGGAGTAATACTGAAATCGTGATCCAGAATAAAGGAAAGGCGTGTTCCAGCTTGAAGAAGGAGGAAGGCGTGTTCCAGTTTGAGTGAAAGGCGCAGCTGCTCAGCTTGAAGAAGAAAGGCGTGACTTACAAATCACGCCTTCTACCTGATATAACAGAATTATGCTTCTGTTTTGCGCAAGTGGAGCTGATGATTCCAGAACTTCCACATGGCATCACCTGATTAGCTAGTTTAAGAGTTAGTTAGTCTGAAAATGCTATAAATGGCTGAAAGAATCCGGGAGTTAGGGAGATATTTTTGAGATATTAATTTCCATTGTTTGTAGCAGAAATTGGCTCTGCCAATTTCCCTCCCTTTTTTTTTCCTTTCAAATTCCTTCAAATCTTTCCTCTTCGATCCTATATCCGTGGATTCTATCTCTGTAATTGATTTACCAATTGTCAACCAGAATTGAAGTTCCAATATTCATTACCAATTCCTGTTCAACCAGAATCGTTAAGGGTTAATTCTTCTTCTGCTGCAACTAAATCTGTCACCATTGCTGTAGTTAGGTTCAATACCATAACAGTGGTATCAGAGCTTAGCTACGAGCCATAGGGATGACCAAATCTCAGGAGGAGGGGTTGAAGAAAGATATTTCTGAGCTAGGTAGTGTGGTCAAAGTGTTGGGGCATAGACAAGAAAGCACAGAAAGAACTCTTAAAAATCTGGACCAAAAATATGAGAGTATGATGGCTATGATGGCTCAGATGATGGCAAAATTTAATGACAGGGACAAGGAGGTAGAAAGCAGTAACTCCATCGAGGGACCTAGCAAGTTAGTAACACAGGAAGAAGGCTGTGGCAGATCAGAGTGGAGAGAGACCAGGTCCTACTCCAGAATACCCAAGGTGGAGTTACCTAACTTCACAGGAGACAGTCCCAGGGAATGGATCCGTAAGGCTAACAAGTTCTTCAAAATCAATGGAGTGGAGGAAAACATGAAATCTGAGATTGCTGAGCTATACCTGAGGGACAGAGCTGATACCTGGTTCCATGGAGTATTCAGTGGCAGGGGAACCATTCCATGGACAGAACTGGCTACTGCTCTGTGCAAAAGGTTTGGGGAGGGTACACCAGAGGAAGCTATTGAAGAATTCAACAAGCTTAGGCAGGAAGGATCCATAGCAGACTACCTGGAAAGGTTCGAGCTACTCAAAGCACTGGTAATGCCTTCCCTCCCTCATTTGGCTGATTCTTACTATAAAGCATGTTTCGTAAGTGGTTTAAAGGAAGAAATAGTCAATATGGTTAAAATGGCCAAACCTACAACCCTGTCAGATGCAATAGAAGCGGCCAAACTACAAGAAAAGAACCTGAAAGCCATGCAAAAGTTTCACAAACCCCTACCTAACAACCAAACACACAGAACCCCTTTCCACCCCCAGAACCATAACAAATGGAACCCCACACTTCCCAGATTCCCAGAAAAAACACCTACAGAACCCCAAACAGCAACACTAACCAGTTCAAAAAGATCACCCCTAGTGAGTTCAATCTCAGGAGGAAGAAAGGACTATGTTATAAATGTGCTGAACCCTACACACTTGGCCATACATGTAAACAGTCCCACATCCACCTACTGTTAGTACAAGATGACAGTGAGAAACAGGTGGTCAGTGAGGAAGGAAGAGAGACTGAACCTGAAGTTTTCTGCGATTGTGTAGAAGGCAAAATTGGGGATGAACATATGGAAATCTCCATCAATGCTCTAGCAGGAGGTAGTGAGCACAAAACTATTAAATTAAAGGGGTTAGTAAAAGGGAGAACTATCACTGCACTTATTGACAGTGGTAGCACTCACTGTTTTCTGGATGCACAACTGGCTAACAACCTGAAACTGGCTAGTAGTGGCCCACCCTTAGTTGTTAAGGTAGCCAATGGGGAAAAGGTTCAGTCCAGCAGCCTAGCTAAACCTATAGTGTGGAGGATGCAGGGCTATGAATTTCAGCACCAGTTCAATACACTAAAGCTAGGAGGATGTGATATGGTGCTGGGGGTAGATTGGCTGGCCAGATTCAGTCCTATGGAGTTTGACTTCAAGGGGCTTAGTGTGAAGTTCAGAAAAGGGAAACAGCAGGTGGAACTGAAAGGGGAGAGGGACCAGGTGCAGCTAAGGTTGATCAAAGGGAGTAGATTGCACAAGTGGGCCAGGAAACAGGCCTATGGAATTATGGCTCAGCTCAGTGCAGTCCAGGAGGAGGTACATGCCCCTGCTACTACACCCCCAGAGATGGAAGGAGTACTGCAGGATTTTGAGGAGGTATTCAAAGAACCTCAGGGGCTGCCCCCTGAGAGGGGACATGATCATTCCATTACCCTTAAAGAAGGGTCCAAACCTTTCCAGATCAGACCGTACAGGTGTCCCTATATTCAAAAGACTGAGATTGAGAAGCTGGTGCAAGAAATGTTGGGAAATGGTATCATCCAGCACAGTAACAGCCCCTTTGCATCCCCTGTACTTCTGGTAAAAAAGAAGGATGGCACCTGGAGATTCTGTGTTGATTATAGGCAGTTAAATGAGATGACAGTCAAAAACAAATATCCTATACCCCTTATTGACGAACTTTTGGATGAATTGACAGGATCCAAATACTTTACCAAGATAGATTTGAGGGCAGGCTATTTCCAGATCAGAGTAAAAGCAGCAGATACTCCCAAGACAGCATTTAGAACTCACCAGGGGCTCTACGAGTTCAAAGTGATGCCATTTGGGCTCACCAATGCTCCTGCTACTTTCCAAAGTTTGATGAACCATGTATTTCAAAAACTGTTAAGGAAATTTGTGCTGGTATTTTTTGATGACATCTTGATATATAGCTCAAGTTTGCAGGAACATTTAGAACATGTCACAGTAGTGCTGAACATCCTCAGAGAACACCAGCTATATGCCAAAAGGAGCAAATGTGCCTTTGGCCAAACACAGGTGGAATACCTGGGACACATCATCTCTGCTGAAGGAGTAAGAGCTGACCCTGAGAAAATTGAAGGTATGGTGAAGTGGCCTAAACCAGCAAATGTGAGACAACTGAGAGGGTTCCTAGGCCTAACAGGGTACTATAGGAGATTTGTTAAGGGGTATGGTAGTATAGCCAGACCATTGACTGCACTATTGAAGAAAGATAACTTCCAATGGGGACCAGAAGCAGAGGAAGCATTTCAGCAGCTCAAGGAGGCCATGTGTGACACACCTGTCCTGGCTCTACCTGACTTCAACCAACCATTTGTAGTAGAGACTGATGCATGTTACACTGGGATAGGGGCAGTTTTAATGCAGAACAGGCGACCCTTAGCCTATATCAGTCAAGGATTGGGGCCAAGGAATATGGGGCTATCTATCTACGAGAAGGAACTCCTGGCATTGGTTACAGCAGTTACCAAATGGAGGCACTACCTGGAGGGCCAGCACTTCATCATCAACACAGATCAACAGAGCTTAAAGTACCTGTTGGAGCAAAGAATCACCACTCCCTTGCAGCAGAAGTGGTTGACCAAGCTCATGGGGATGAGTTACGAGATCCACTACAAGAAAGGTAAGGAGAATGTGGTAGCAGATGGCCTTTCCAGGAGGGGGGATCCAGACTTGAAGTGTACTGCAATAACTACCATAGTGCCAGAATGGATCAAGGAGGTGATTGGTAGCTACCAAGGAGATGACTGGGCACAGAATCTCATCAGAGAAGTTTTACTGAAACCAGACCTGCTTGCCAACCACAGCTATCAGAATGGTATACTGAAGTTTAAAGGAAGGGTAGTAGTAGGATCAGGAGGGGAGATAAGGAAAAAACTGATCAACACCTTACATGACTCCCAATTGGGGGGACATTCTGGGATTCAGGCCAGTTTCATGCGAGCTAAGCAGTTGTTCTATTGGCCAGGCATGCACAGAGACATCAAGACAGCAATCCTGGAATGTGATGTCTGCAGGAAGTGTAAAGACGAGCATGTATCCTATCCAGGGCTCCTACAACCTCTGCCAATCCCACAGTACCCCTGGAGCCACATCACTATGGATTTCATTGAAGGACTACCTAATTCTGAAGGGAAGGATACCATCATGGTCGTGGTGGACAGATACACTAAATATGCTCACTTCCTGAGCACCTCACATCCTTATGATGCTCCAAGGATCGCCAGGATTTTTCTGGATGGAGTGGTCAAGTTGCCTGGATTACCCCTGAGTATGCTATCAGACAGGGATAGGGTCTTCACCAGTCAGTTCTGGGGAGAACTGTTCACTTTCCTGGGAACTACACTGGACCACAGTACCGCCTACCATCCACAGTCTGATGGCCAGACTGAAAGGGTCAATCAGGTCCTGGAAATGTACCTCAGGTGTTTTTCACACTTGGAACCACAGAAGTGGAACCATTGGCTGACTATGGCTGAATGGTGGTACAACACCAGCTACCACACAGCCATCCAAATGACTCCTTTTGAGGCTCTCTATGGACAGGCACCCCCCCAATTAGCCATAGGGCCATATACTCAGGCCAAGGTAGCTGTTGTTGGGGACTACTTGAGGGAGAGACACAAGGTGGACATCATACTGCAGCAGAACCTAAAGCTAGCTCAGGAGAGGATGAAAAAATACGCGGACGAAAGCAGGAGTGAAAGGAGGTTTGATATAGGTAACTGGGTGTACCTGAGGTTACAGCCTTACAGGCAAAGTTCAGTAGCCTTGCGAGGTAACACTAAGTTATCAGCACGCTACTATGGGCCATATGAAGTAATAGGCAAGATGGGGAAGGTTGCATACAGCTCAGATTACCAGCAGATTCCAAGATTCATCCTGTCTTCCATGTCTCTCTGCTGAAGAAGAAGGTTGGGAACCAGACCACACCTATCTTACAACTTCCAGAAACAGATGGGAGGGGAGACTTAAGAATCGAACCAGTTGCAGTGCTAGAACGAAGAACAGTCAAGAGAAAGAATGCAGCTGCTGTCCAA